TGGCCCCATTTGTTTATTTTACTATGCCTCTGGCAGGGGAGTTAAAATGTGGTTAGTTCTGGGCCAGGGATTTAGCTCAGTGGTGTTGCTTGCTAGTTCTGTGGCATTTTCATTTTCTTGTTTTTCTTGCTTTCTTTATTTAAAAACAATATTTTTGAAGGTAACCTTAACTGTTAGCTGGAGTTTTATCCTAAACTCCTTTAAAATAATTCCTAAATTCCTTTAAAACAATTCCCAAAAGGTCTTCTTTACCACAAAGAAGCCCAAAAAGGAGACTGAGGGGAATTTAGAAAAAGTGGGTTCTGAGAGTAGAACCACTTAAAGGTAAATAGGTGTGAGTGTGTTCATGTGTGTGAAGGAGACAGACAGGAATCTGAGCTTTAACAATTGTGGGGGTTGGCTGAAAAGCTCTGTAAGGTTATTATTATCTTTGTCTAATGCTGGAGTTTGAAGGCCTCAAACAGAATAGTTGGAAAGGCAAGTAAAGTACAAAATAAGGTCAAGCTAGCACCCACAGCATGAGGCAAAATCTGAGAAGAGGGACAAAAACCACTGTCATCTCTCATTGCCTCTGACTTGATGGTGTGATTGTCCTTCAGGAAAAGTTGCCACCTCCCCACCCTCACTTCCTACAACAAACTAAACCCATACCTGGTTGGGGAGTTGGAGAAGATGAAGAAGAATCCTCGGGAAGGCAGACTGTTACAGGTTTGCCTCTTCAACGAGGTGAACCAACAGGTAAGTGACTTCATTTGTAAGTTGAAAAGTAGCTGCTGCAACACCTCCACTTTCCAAATCTCACACAGAAGACCAACCAGAAACACACAGGAAGGGGAATTCTGGTAAATGAGGTTCAGCCTAGTGAAATAGACACATTCCAAAGCTACTACATCTTGAGCAAAGTAATAGTAAATTATTGTTTGGCAAAACATGAACTACCATCATTTGAGCAATGTACCAGATGCTTTAATAAGTTATGTATGGGGACGGGGATTTAGCTCAGCAGTTCGGTGGCCTGCCTTGCAAGCGCAAGGACGCGAGTTCAATCCCCGGTACCAAAGAAAAAACAAAAAAACAAAATAAGTTATTTAATCTTTTGATAGTTCTATGAGAAAAGCATTCTGTCCTCACTTTACAGGTGAGGAAACCAAGACTGAAAAGTTGCAACAAGCATGTTGTTATGGACCATCCAGCAGCCAACACCACTCTTTCCTATAGCGAACTCATTCTATGCATTTGGATTAACCAGCTTACCCTTAGTTAAAGGAATAAATATGTACCCAGGCTTGGTCAATCAGCAAATGCCATTTTCTTGGACACAATGACTACTCCGTTAATAGGCACTGAGTCATTCAGAAACTGGATCATTTCAAAACTTCCAGGAACTTTTCTACCAGGGAAGATGTGATTTTTATTTCCTGGGGTTGTCAAGTTAAGTAGGAGACTCCTGGTTCTCATCTTTACCTATACAACAGGCTTATCTGAAGTGTAGAAAGATATATTTGAACTCCTAGATTGTACCAAGCCTAAACTTTACTGTACTCCTGATCCACCCAGGTTACGTGATCCCACACACTTATTTGAAAAGCTAGTTTCAATTGGGGTTTTGTCAGTTGCTGCAAAAGAGACTAATATATTTATGTCAGAAAAGTATTATGGGACAGCCTAGAATGTAGATTCCTTACATACAGAAAGCAGACCCCTTGGATTTCCCACATATTCCCCAAAAATTCAATTTTCAGTTTTTGTGAAGATAATGTTACTTGCATCCATGAGAGTTATTTTCCCAAGGTTGCTGAGCCAGTAGGATTATATACTAGAACTCAAATCCTGTCTGGCTCCAAAGTACAGCAAGGTACCATGCTGTAGTCCTGTGGATTCAGTGGGCACATCTGAGGTTATGGCAAGCTCTGTCTCTGTAGCTTCTCACGGAAGACAGAATGAGCTGCTTGAAGGAAAGATTGGGAGGAGCTTTCCTAATTCCCTCTGGAAATATGGAAGACTGTGGCTGCAGCACAAATCTGAGGTTGTGATTTGGGATTATGTAACACAGCATAACTTTTTAACAAACCAGACGGAGACCTCTGGGATCAACGCAGCAATCCTTATTTGCGCCCACCATCTGCATACTCTTTACATAGGACTTGAACAGATCAAAGCAAATTGATGATTAGAAGCCGGGTGTGGTGGTGCGTGTTTGTAATCTCAGCACTCTGGGAGTCTGAGCCAGGAGGACTGCAAGTTTGAGCTTAGATCAGACAAGTTGGTGATTTAGCAAGATTTGTCTCAACATAAAAAGATAAAATAAAATATAAAAAGGGCTGGGGATGTAGCTCAGTGTGAAGATCCTGGATTCAATTCCCAGTATGGCAAAAAATTAAACAAACAAACAAACAAATAGTTGATGATTATGGCCAAGTTCATTCTAGTCAACCTCCTAATACTGAGTCCTGGATATCAAATTGCAACCCTAATTTTAAATGTTTGCCAGGATATAAACTTGAGAATGTCCCTTCACATTTTAACAATTTCAATGCCCAATTAGTTTTTCCAATACAAAAACCTGCCATAGGTTGACTTTTGCAGATGCCAGCAAAGATGACTATTTGCTCTCATCTTCCTTCAGGCACACAAACATATTTATCTCCTTGTTCAGCTTCTGCATCAGTCTGTGGGTGAAACTCTGAGCAGCCCCAGCAATGCCAGTCCCTCCATTCTCTTGTACAAAGCCAGGTCTCTATGTCATTTCAAGTAGATTTTTCTTGGAACTAACTTTTCAAAGTTAATGTTTAATTTTTAAAACTGCACTTTTAAAAATTTCCATTTTGGTAAGCAGACCAGATGCTTTGCCAAATTTACCCTCAGCTAATTGCATAGTTCAATGTCCCAAAATGTGCCCTTGTTTGCTTAAAACCTGCTGATCTGCAAAAGAAATTGTTCCAGGAATGTGGGTCAGAGTGGCCGCTCCTGTGGAAGCTGAATGGATCAAGAACAGGCCATGGAGGCCTGGCTGGGTACTGGCTGCTCATAAATCTGCAGGGATAGAGGACTCTCCAGGGCAGGATTTTCATTCCTTTGATAAGGCTGCTAGAGGTAGGGGAGAGCTAGGGCCTGGAGACATGCACAAAAATAAGTTTGGCTCAGATTCATCTTTGGAACCCTTCAAGCCTTTCATCTTGAGTGGGCTTTGGGTTAAGAATGAAGTAAAATGTTAACGCACAGCTAGAGGGAAATAATTTTAAAATCTGGCATTCGTTCAGCCTCTGTCCCTGGAGGTCCTCTGATGAGATGTATGTGAAGTAGAAATGATCTTCTAGCAAGAATAGAATAAGGCTGAAGTTGCTTGGCTACTCTTTCCTGCATGTGAATCTGAAACCTGAGGTCAAAGGAGCTACTTAACTTGGCCACAGGCTGATATTGTTGGGTACTTCCAGCTCCTGCCACCAAGGGAATGAACTGAGAGCAGCCTGGAGACTGAAGAGGGTGGAAGGGCACCCAGAGGTGTTCCAGTGGTGAGGGGAGGATGCAAGGCCTGCCCATGTGGGACACTGCCGTCAAACAGGTGCAACAGTGGTGTATCCTGTCATTTTCAGCACTGGCCTCTACTCTGGGCATGGGGGTTGGGAGTGAGGGTGAGGTGGGGTGGCAGAGGCAGCTCCAGTCTGAGTCAGACCACTCTGTTTGGCTGCCTGGCTCCTGCCAACCTGCCATCAGCCCATCCTTCTCTTATCAGGTGTGCTTTGCTGACCTTCAAGGTAGATCCTGGGGTAGTTAGCTACGCACTGTATTTCACTTAGCCTGCATCAGTAGGGCTGCTCTCCTTTCTGTAGCTCTGGGGAAGACTTGCTTTCTTGCTGTTTGCAGCTTCTACAATTCCCACATTCCTTGTGTTGTGGCTTCTTTCATCTTCAGAGCTGGCCATGCTGGTCAGGTCTTCATCCCATCGCTCTTCAGTCTCCCTCTTCCCTTTTACAGATCCTTGTGATTACACTGGGTCCACCTGGATGATCCAGGGTACTCTCCTTTTAAAGTCAGCTGTCTAGCGACTTTATTTCCATCTGCAGATTTCATTCCTTTTTGCCATGCGACTAACATATTCACAGGGCCTGGGGATTAGGATGTGGACATCTGTGGGGACCATTATTCTGCCCACCATGATAATAAATCCTCATCTTTCTCAAAGCCTTCTTACAGAGCTCATTTGACCCTAAAAATGCCTAGGAGATAGAGGAGTGGGTGGGAATGTCCCTTTTAATGTAGTGGGAATCTAAACTAGGAGTCAAAAAACAAAAATCCAACAAACATTGATCTTAACCCGTTTGCTTAGAAATTGATGAAAGGATGAAGTTAAGACACAAGTCACAGCATTCAGTTTATTTCAAGATATTTGGTACATGGTAAAATGTGGCCTTGTATCAGCTCTCAGCCTGGGTCCAGGTTTTGAACTTACACAAATGATTTCTCTTTTCTGAGTCTGTGATTCCTTGTTTTTGCCTTCCTGCGAGGCTTTGAAAGTCAAGATGATAGTCTTAACATAGATAGCTACATTGGAAGAGTGTGACCCAAATGCAAAGTCATTTGTATTTATTAAAATCAATTCCACAGCTGGGCATGGTGGCATATGCCTGTAATCCCAGCACTCAGGAGGCTGAGACAGGAGGATCACCACAAGTTTGAAGTCAGCTTGGACTACATAGTGAGTTCAAGGCCAGCCTGAAGTACAAAGCAAGACCCTGCTTCAAAAAAAATTCAATTCCACAGAATGATGCTGGGTGGAATATAAAAAAAAAAAATACATGGCCTTGATACTGACTTTGTTGAATTTTCCCAGAAGGAAGAATAGATTACTTGTAACAAATAATTAACATGTGGACACATGTTTTAAACTTTTATTTTATTTTATTTTTGGTACTCGGGATCGAACTCAGGACCTTGCACTTGCGAAGCAGGCAGCGGAACCACTGAACTAAATCCTTGGCTAAACTTTTAAAAATAAAGGTATTTTTGAAACAAAGTTACAAAATCTATGATACTTAGGACAATCATAAAAGAACTAGCAGGGAAGGGTCCTTACTGCCATTGCATCGCAATAATTCAGATATACACGACCCAACTGTAATTCTGCCAGCAATTAAATTTCCTCCGTAGTTGGACAAGGAATCTCTGGAAGTAGATCCTGACTTTAGGGAAATCAATAAAGAAACAAACAAAATCCCCAACCTACTAAGAGGATGGAGTTTTTAAAGTTTCCACTGAATTCCTGTTTGCAAGCTTTCTCTGTTTTATTCCGGTGTTTTCTGTTTGGTTGGTTTTGTTTGTTGAGTGGAATTAAAGATTTCCTCAACCTTAACTTCTCTGCTCAGTGACAGATTTTTAAAAGAACAAAACATGGGACACACACACACACACACACACACACACACACACACTTTATTGGTTACTTGGTTCTCTTTTAGTTGATACAGAGAGTGGACTCAAGGAATTAAACTTGAAAACTATAAAGTCTTCCATAGATACCTTTACCATCTAATTTGAGACTGGCAGATGTACCACTTGCATCCACTGAGGCTTAAAAATGGATAAAGTACTCTTAAGTGGTACAGCATCTCAGTAAGCAGTTATGATGAAACATGCCAAAGGTAGGTTTTCCCCAAGGCTGAGTGGTGACTGATTCTTCATCTTCCAGCGCCAAAGCACTGCTGTTTGAAATAGTTACAGAGACTAGAGAAGGAATATTTCCATTGGGCAGTTCCCCACTGTTTCCAGCATATTTTCTACTTGCCTGACTTTGTTTTTGGCCCTGAATGGAATAGAGGGTGGAATTTTCTCTACTGAAATAATAAAAATTTCTTTACTGGCACGTGTGCATTCAGATTTGCTCTTGATATGTCTCATGTTATCAACTGCAGCTGGGTTTGCTGTGAACAAGTGTTTTTGTCTTTGGTGAAGATTGCATGTTGACTTGTGATTGCCCGAATCCTGCAATTGAAATGGACATTTTAGTGAAGATCTTGATTATTTTTGTATTTTTATTGTGCCTTTTTCACTCTTCAATACATATGCTGGCTTGGACTTGTTTGCAAAAGGAAAAAATATCTGGCACATTTCAAGTCATGCAGTTAAAACCAAGAGCTTACTGAGGGCTCAGGAGCTGTTTTTATAATCCAGGAGCCTGTTTTTATAACCTAGCAGACTAAAGTTTTCAAAACAAATTTGGCACGCCTTAGGTTTTACTAAAATTTTGTGTGACAAGTAGCCACAAAATGACAGCTCAAGTTCACTTGAACTTCCTTCTTAATTCCATTAAAAAAATACAAATCAAAAGAAGAATTTTAAAAAGAAGAATTAAGACATATTACATACAGGTACAAATTCCCTATGATGAGTTGATCATTATAGCAAATATGTACTAATAATAAGATTTAAAAAAGAATAGTTAAAAAAACGCACAAATCAAAAAACAAAAACTAAAATAATACAAAACAAAACGCTTGCATCACAATGTTATTATCTAAGCCTGTACACTTGAGCTCCATGCTCTTTACATTCATGAAATCCAGAATCAGTGAGTTCCTTACAGTTTATGTCAGGTCAAAGATTGATTTCAGGAAATATTTGTCTGATACTTAAAAAATCTGTGCTATACATATTGGCTCATAAACACTGAGGACAATCTGGGAAATTTTGATACTGTAATGATTACAATGTAGAAACCTCATGAATCACAGGCTCATAGAGCTACAAAGTACTCAAAAAGCTGTTGTGGGCTGGGGATTTAGCTCAGTAGTTCTCCTGCCTACCTTGCAAGTGCAAGGTTCTGAGTTCGATCCCTGGTACCCACCGCCCCCAAAAAAGCTGTTGTGGTGGTGGTTTTATTTTTTAATTTAAACAGTGGCCCAAAGGTTCCCCCACCTTGCACACCTTTATTATTTTTCTCCTACACAACGTTTGGAAAGGTACTATTAGACTATAAATCTCTTGTGTGCAGGAAAAGCATCTTTCGCATCCTAGAATCTTCTGCACCTGCCAAACCATAGGACTTCAATTAATTTGTGGAACAGAACTGTGTGGAAAAGCCTTGGAATCAGATGTCAATTTGAATTCCAGTTCTGCCAATTATCAGCTATGCAATCTTGGTTTTATCAGACCTTTCTGATACTGAGTTTTTCCCATTTTCAAAATGGGAAATGGCATGATAATTATATATTTATATAATAATTATACAATTACAGTCTTGCACTCCATAATGACACGTCAGTCAATGACAGACTGCATATACAATGGTGGTCTCATAGACTATAGCATTGCCTGGTGATGTCATAGCTGTCTTGGTTTTTGTAAGTACATTCTATGATGCTTACATGATGATGAAATTGCATTTCTCAGAGTGTATCTTCTTCTAATAACTTGGAGTAGATAGCACATAAAAGCACTTAGCATTTCACAAGGACCTACTTCCAGCAAGTGTCAATTCTTTTAGTGTACTAAAGGATTTTCCCATTACAAAATTAATCAAATTCATATGTCTTTAACGTCACGTCTATTCTGATCAACATGAAATGACTGAGGACAATGTTCTGAGTTAGAGTAACTCCAAAGAAAAGCAAACAACTCAGACTTTTGAGTTTGCCTGCTCAGTGTTCCCACAGGTAGATATGCTGTGAGATTTTTTTACGACAATAGCTTGTGAGCCCCTCCCACCCTTGCTACAGTCATTCACTTGTAGAGGTCTGGGGATCTAAGGTCATTGGGTCAATATTCCTGCTTTGGATTCTGGGTTGGACAGATCTAGGTCAACCTAAATACATATTTGGAGCACATATTTGTGAAGAGGGAGCACTGCACAGTGAAAAAGCTTGTTAGAGCCAAACAGCATTAGGTTTCTATTCTTCTATTGACTTGCCTTGTGACCATGGCAAGTTCCTAACCTCTCCTGAATCTGTTTTAGCTTGAGCAAAATGGGAATAGTATCTGCCTTAGAGTTGTCATTAGAATTGGATAAGATATTGATAAAGCCCCAGCACAGCATCTGGTACATAGCAGGCATCCAATTAAATGATGACTGTTATTTATATTAGCCTGGGGAGTCTAGCCAAATTTAAAAGTTTACACTTAGTATAAGAGTGGTAACTGGTTTTAAAATTAGGATTATTTTTCATGCCACAAAGATTCAGACATAAGTAAATGTGTTTCTATTCTGTAGGGAGTTTTTGTTTGCGTTTTTTAAAGAAGCTACTCTGTATTAAGGAGGCAGGAGCTGTGAGTTCTAAGAGCTTGCTTATTCTTTCATTTATACATCCAGTCAACGCTGTCATCAGTGTCAGCTTTACTAAGCACCTAAGCACTGTGCACACAAGGGACACCATCATGTACTAATATCTCATTTCCTTCCAAGCAACCTCTGCAGAGTTAACTTGATCTCCAGGTGGACCAGGTAAATACATGTAGGAGATGTGTGTGAGTGCATGCATGCCTGTATGGGGGTTTAACATTTTAGCCTTTTATGAGATTCCTTTGGAATGTTGTTTTTTTATATCATCCATTAAATTAGTTGCCCTTCTCAAGCTATCGTTTTCAAATATGGCAATGATACCTTTTCATTCTGTTTAAATATAGGTATAAGTGGCACCTTGGTTTACAAACTTAATATGTTTTATAATTTTGGGGAAGATGGCTTCATCTGTGTTTGTGTGGGGAAGATGGCCATGGTCATGTTTGTCACCTGAAGTGGAGTTTGCGAACGGAAGCAAAATTTTGCTGAATGCTTTTGTTTGTGAATTGAACTGCTTGTAAACCAAAGTGTTCATGAATGAATGCAATACTCTATTCTACTGCTTACAGCATAAAGTTCAAACTCTTTATTACATCGTGTGAAAACTGGTAACATTCTGATGCCTCTTTTCAATTTATCTCAACCCAGTCCGCCCCTACACATTATATTTTAATGACAGCGAACTACTTTTGGTTCTGAGGCCTTATATCTTCAAGTTAGTACCTCCACTCATGCTGTTTTCTCTGTCCCCAAAATATCATGGGTCCTCACCGGCTACCTTACTCATTTTCATCTTTTACATAGCTCTATTACAGTATTTTCATAAGGCATTATGGTATCTTAAATTTCTCTCCTCTGTTAGACCTTGGCTGGAAGGGCAAGGACTCAATCCTATTTATTGTTTCAGTCCTGATGTGTCAAAACAGTGGATGAGATATTTTTGGAGCTAACTATATTATTTACTTTGCAGAACAAAATCACAGCATACTAAAAATAAAAAGTATTTATATTCTGCTGCTCTATTTTGTAATTTACTATACAGTCAACAGTTAACTTTCCTGCCTTCCTTAGGAAGGGTTTATTGATCCTAGAGAGCAATGAATTTTAGAGTAGAAAAAGTTTTACTTTTAATAAGTTCTCATTCTTTTTAGGAAAGCTATTGAAGCAAAGTTCCAAACTTCCTTCTCTCTAGCAGTTATTTTTGTTCTTCTAGGCACTAATAAAATCAAGCATTTATAAAATAATTTTTAAAGGTGCACGTAACTTGAATATTAAGCATTTCCCCCTTTGCTGCTATAATATGGAGCAATGTCTCCAATTTATTTCAATTAGAGTATAAATAACTCAAGATCAGGAACTAAAAACCTTTAAAGATGAATCAATGAAACCACTTTCCCATCAGCCAAATATAGTGCAGTAAGTGTTCTGCAAAAATAAAGACAAGGCCAGTCTTGGCTGATTGTTGTTTTAGAAAGTTGACATTTTTAATGCTGCTGAGTGCTAAAAACCTAAGTTTATGGAACAGTGGAGGACAAATAGCTGATGGCATAGATTGGACAGCTCCTGCAGACAAGGATGTTCAGCTGTGGAACAGGTTTAACCTGCACATGTTGATGAGATAAATTTCTAAATGTCCTTGGTTTTTCATAGAATATATGTTTCAAACTATCTTCTGGTTTGTATCTTGCCTTTAGAAGTTGTATACTTTCCTAACTTTGATTCAAATGCTTATAGTGATGCCTAACCTCATTTTCAGAGATACAAATACATCTATACACCAAAATTTAAACTTTACGGTTTAATTGATATTTAAACTGATTTTTCTAGGGCCTGAGTGTTTTTAAATGCTTAAACACAGTGTTGGGGGTATTTAAAATGATTCTTACAATGCCTGAAAACTATTTTTTTTTATTGACTTGAAACCTCCAAATTAATAGTCTTTTAAAACTAGAATAAAGGGCCTAGGATTTAGCTCAGTGGTTCCACTGCCTGCCTTGCAAGCATAAAGACCTGAGTTTGATCCCTGGTACCGCCAAAAAACAAAAAAAACCAAAAAGCTAAAACTAGAATAAAGATAGATACCCGTAAAAAATTAGTGTTAACTGTACTTATAAAACACAACAGTTAAATCTTGTGATAACCTTTTCTATGATCACAATCTAACTCTCTCCATGCTAACAAATTTACTGGGTAAACTATTTTGTTTGCCTTATTGTTTTTTGCCTCTATACCTATTTTGCTATGCAAAAGCTTTATGTCAATTTACTTTTTGAGCCGTTTAAGACCAAACCAAATTATTCTTTCAGCACATTTTAAACAATCCCTTAAAGACCTCTTTTTCTTGGCTATGTTTCCAATCTTGGCTTATCATGATAATATTTCACGCTCCATGCTTCTGAAGAAATTCAATATTCAAGAACAAAGTAATCCAGAGCTTTACTTCATTTCAGTCTCTTTATGTCCTAGGGCTGTCCCAACTCAATGACCCAGTTTTTATTGTGTCACATCTCACTGTCTGTTGCTGACTGCAACCAGCTTGCCTAATCCTTTTTCTGTCCCTTATCAGTTTTTCCTTAATTCAAACCCCCCCCCACTTTTGTAAAGTCTCTGCACTTCTCCTTTCACAGCTTTTAGATTTTTTTTTTACTCCTCAGGAAACTCAGCATTCCTGTTGTAGGTACTCAGTAATACAAAGACAACAGGTAACTAAAGTCCATAAATCTGTCCTTGTCAAAATTTTCATTGTAATATTTTTAGAATTGTGAGTGATGAACAGAAAGTGGGTGTAATATACATCAAGTGTCCTTATAAATGTTCATACCTCATGTCTTTGCAATTTCACATCTGTGAATTTGGCTTACAATGAAAAAGAATAACCTAAAATATGTAAAACATTATATATACAAGATATTCATTACAATGAAACGTACGTGTGTATATGTATATATATGCAAAAGAGGGCTGGGGATTTAGCCTGCCTCACAAGCACAAGGACCGGAGTTCAATCCCCAGGACCAAAAAAGAAAAAAGAAAAAAATCCAACAATAGGAGAAAAGTTAATTATAGCCCATCTACTTAATAGAATAATGTGCAATCATTTAAAATGATGGTTCTGTAACTATGTATAGACATGGGTAAATACTTATGGTTTCAGATAAACAGGATACAAAATTATAAGTATCTATGATCACTACTATGGTTTTAAGAAAGCATTTCCATAATCCTAGCACTCCGGAAGGCTAAGGCAGGAGGATCACAAATTCAAGCCCATTCTGGGCAATTTAGCACCTGTTTCAAAATTTGAGGGGGGATGTTGTTTGAAGGCCTCACGTTCAATCCCTAGTACTGGAAGGAAAAAGCATTTACAAAAGGAAACATTTGCTAACAGTATTTTAGGCTGGTAGAATCATAGTTGATTTTTCTTTACTTATAAAATATTGTGCTATAATCTTAACTGATACAAATAATCATTTAAGTAGATTGTCAAGTATAATTTAAAAACTTTCAGATGAAGCTTTATGTAAGTCTAATAATGTAATAATTGGGGGAGCAATAAGACAATATCATTTTATCACTGTAGTAATCTCTGAAATGATGAATTAGGAAAAATACCTATTTTAAAATATAAAATTATTTAAAGAACTTTAGTAGGTCTTATATTGCTTTCAAGTTTTACTGGTACTCACTTGATCCAGGCCAGCTTGTTCTCTCCAAAATGCTAAGCCCCTGTTGATCTCTCTACCTCTAGTCCTACTCTTTCCATTCATTTGCCACAGTCTCCAGGGAGAGGGAGAAGGGGGGAGGGAGAGGGGGAAGGGGGGTCAGAGAGAGGGAGAGGGACAGCTGGCCTTTTGCAATCCAAATCTGTGTGTGAGGCTCCACTTTAAACTCTTCAGGGATTCAGAATATTCAAATCACAACCTTAGCTTACTAGCACCTTCCAAACTTCTCTACCCTATTCTATTTCTACTCTATCAGTTCCATTAAACTGCTTATATATATCTAAATCAGTACTCAATCACCACTATTTCTTCCTCTTAATACTAAACTTAAAATCCACTCATTCTTCAAACCTCAAGTGTCACTTTCTCTGGTAAGGCTTTTCAGAGTCCTTAACTCATTTAAATGTCTCTTCTGTGTAATCCCAGTGTCTTTTCCACCAGACAGTAAACTTGTTTGTTCAGGCAAGAGGGAGTGACTGTATGGGTTGAACCTGTCAATCCCTCTCCTCCAGTGCAGAGCTTGGTGAATGCTAAATGATGTTGATGAAGGGTCAGCGTGCTGCTAATCCTGGACGCTATGTGCAGGATCACAGAGGGGATGTCCTGAAATCAAGGGCGTGTTATAGTCAAAAGGAAATGACTCATTGAACGCACCTCCAATAAAGTCACACTTTTCTCTCTGTAATGTTTTACCCCTCACATCGTATGCAAGGATTAGGAGCACATCTGTCTTTGACCCTCCAGTACTTCTTTCATATACCAGGCATGCATTCAAGTATATGTTAAATTAACAAATTTCAGTAAAGTCCTTTTGTTTCTGGTAATTTACACCTACTGTCTTTGATGAGAAAAAGACAAAGAAAAATATGTGGAGAATAAAATTTGCAAAGCCCAACATCTTAACTACAAATTTTCAGAAGTGTTGTAAATCCCTGGAGAGAATATATAGGAATTGAGGATTAACAAACATTCCCGATAAACCCAAGATAAAGACTGTCTATACACCAAATGCATTGATTGAAATGTAAATATCTCCTCTACCTAAATTTGAAACACTTGCACAGAGAAACAGGTATACTCCAATACACAATGCTGGTTTAGTCTAACACAAAAACCATAGTTCTTTAGATGAAAAACACCTGACTTAGTCATGATCCTACTCTACCTTAGTTTCTTTTTTCTCATCTTACTACATCTGCATTTTAAATATTGCATCTACTACAGCAATATTATTTGAATATTTTAATAAATCAATTCTATTTTTTCAGAAGTTTTTCTATGATTAAGACTAAAATTTTCATTATTAACTTCTTACTCCTACATTAAGGTTTAATGTGTCTGAAGCTCTGCCATTTGAAGTAAAACTCTTGAGACAACATTGAAATTTTAAAAAGTCTTTCTAAAATGGGTGTGGTGGTGCATGCCTGTAAACCTAGCACTCCTGGAAGCCAAGGCAGAATGATCAAAAGTTCAAGCAGTTTTTTAATGAACAATAATCTAGCAAATGAAATCACAAGAGTTAATTTAATGTGCCTACTACAGTGCCTGTTACATAGAAGTCTTGCTATTCTATTTTTAATCCTTCCTCCTTCCTTCTTATTTTTTTAGTTTTTTGAGACAGGGTCTCACTACGTAGTTGAGACTGACCTGGAACTCACAATGATCCTCCTGCCTCAGCCTCGCAAGTGCTGGGATTAGAGGCGTGTGCCACCACGCTTGGCTATCCTTCCTTCTCTTGCAACTGTGTAAAACAAAGGACAACAGAGCTACACATGACAGGAATAATCTGTTGCTGATACTTTATTAACACAAATAATTTATTATAAAACCATTTTGCACATCACCACAACAAATACTGAACACAGTTTTACAAAAGTTGTAATTTTTATGACAAAAATATTCCCTAAATATCACGATAATACACTTGTCTTCTTTACTTCAATATAATAGATAACAAATACGAGGGTGAGAATTTAACCTTAACAGACATGCAAATTTGATCTTCTGGTTATAAATATAGTCTAATACACAAAAATGTTGACTGGCATTTCAGTTTTTGGGTTGTTTTAGCAGCACTGGGGATTGGACTCAGGGTCTTGTACATGCTGGGCAACTATTCTACTGAGCTAAAAGCCCCTTGGACTAGCATTTCTATGTATTTTAAGAAGCATGGTCAGATATATATAGCCAAGATACAAATAATAAATTTAAAAGAAATACATACATTTCTAGTTACAAGTTGTAACTAAAAAATATTACAGTAAAACTGATAAAACACAACTAACAGATGATTACATTAAAAAAAGAAATTTAGTGTCAGGTGGACAGCATGTAGGTTTTAGGGTTAATATACTGCTTTCATGTAATACATAAGCTTTATCATTGCCCCAACTTGGGAATTTCAGAGCTAGAGTATACAGTTCAAAACACTTACTTTACCCTTTTTCTCATGCTAGATCTCTGATGTTTCCTAACTTTTACAGTCTTCTACAATCTTTCAGATTATTTCTCAACAGCACTGGATTAAATCTCTTCTATACATGACCTCATCCTTCTCATGTCTTCTCTGTTTGCAGACAGCTGGTCAAAGTCATGGAGGTGGAAACGAGCTGCCAAATGATTGACCATTTTCTTTAAGGTATAAAATGCTAAAATAACTTGGAAAGTAAGGAACATAGTGAAGATGATATGCATGGCCTTTTCCAAGGGCAGACTCGTTATGCTTTCATTCAACAGCAAGAAAAGAATTAAAGGCAACTGCAGCAAAAGGCTCAAAAGCCAAAAGCCTGCCAGCTCAGGAACCTGTAATGATATATATCAAGAGTATTGAATGTAACTGTACTGTATCCCTAAATGTACCAATAAACTCAATAAAAAAAAAAAAAAAAAAGAGTATTGAGATGAGGGGTAGGGCTGTGACTCAGGGGTAGAACACTTGCCTAACATGTGTGAGGGCCCCTTGATCCTATTCCCCCAAAAGACAGTAATGAGATCAGTAAAACACACTCTCAGTTTATGCATATAAATACTCAGTACTGTTATTAACCTATCATATGGGTTCTATACTTCAAAGGGAGTATGACATGGTCCTTGTCCATACAGAATATGCTACCTAGATAAGGAAATTAACTCTGTGTAAATCAATGCAATATAGTATACTTTGGTGAACAATTAAATGCAACACTTAGAGGTATAAACTAAGTGCTACAAGAAATAAGAGTGTTAGAGTAGGTGAAAGACTTCAAGAATGTATACAGGCTTTTATAGTTATGCTGAGGGAGGAATAAGGAAGAGACTAAATAAGCCAACAGGTGAAAGCATGATTGGGAATCAACACATCATTCTGGAGTGGACGGTTGGGTTAAGAAATGGCAAGAGATACAATGAGATATGCTGGGTGTGGCCTAATTACGAAGGGCCTAGACAACCACAGAATTATCCCAAAACCTTGGTAACTGTAAACGCTTATGCAGCATGATGATTCAGAAAACATGGGTCTGGCATAGGAAATGAATTTATAATTTCCCCCTTTGCTTATTCAGGATCCATACAGACAAGTTTAACTGACCAAAATTTTTAAGAAAGACTGAAGAGAAGAGGGAAAACTATCAATTCTTAAGTGCTTGATAGTGAGTACTTCAGGTACTTTTTTAGTGTATGCCCTACTGAAGTGAGCACCTTCAGGTACTTTTGATAAATCATTTCACTTAAACTCAACAAATGTTTGGAATAAGTACTACTGTCCTCATTTTATAGATTTTGTCTTTGTTGGAAACACCAGAAGTAGACAGCATTAAGCAGAGATTACAGTAACAAGAAGTGGTCAATTTGGAGCGAGGACTTAAAGAGGCCTCTGCTCTTTCTAACACTCATTGCCTCTCACTGTCCTGGAAAGGCATTTATGTGTAGCACCAAGATGAAGGGAAGCAGAACCTACCTTCTCCTGCAGGTTACCCATGTAGCCCAGGTACAACCGGATAGCTTCAATTAGGGTTACGAGGACAATAATAGTAATCACAATGAATTTGTAGTAATCAGGCAAGAATGAATACTAAAAACAAAAAACAAACCATATTTGTAATATAGTACTGACCTGGATAGAGAAACAATTTTTAAGAACTGTTAATTTTATTAACAAAGTAACAATGTTAGGGAAGGGGATAAGAGGCCTTAGCAATAATAAAACGTACTTACCTTCATATGAAGCATCAGAATGGAGCCTACCCACCAAAGTGGGAAAAAGTAAGTATTAAAATAAAGTGCCATCTGCAGGGCCATACTGGAGTTCACTTCATTATCTACAGAAGAAACAGAAAAGGAATAAACTCTTAATCCTAGTTGAAGCCCTTAAAATCCTTTCATTTTTGACAATTAATAACTGGTTCAATACAATCTCAAATTTTAAACCTATTTATAGTTATTAATAGTGAAGATTCATCCTAATATTATTTAGTTCAAATAATGGTTACCTGGGAATATGTTTCAGATTCTTCAATTTATTATTCTGCCATTATAGTCTGCTGACATTCTTGCACATTACTGGTATAAATTAAATGTGGATAGTCAATATGAATCTTATCGAACAGATAGTAATTATCATTGTCTCTTTTGCTGAGTTCTATGTAAAGGTCTTAGAAAATAAATATATAAAATAAAAATGAATATTTCACAGATAATCACAGATAAGCTCATTTAAAAATGAATCTCAAATTAAAGTACACTCTTTCTTTCAGCATACCCTAACCTACCTAGTCTTTAGTACCCAACCCAATGCCACCTTCTCCATAGATTTTTCCTCAATCATATTTTCCCATCCAAACAGAACCTCTTTGTGAAGTTCTGGCAAAGAACACTACTCCCCTCACCCAACACAGTCCCCAACACAGTCTAGTCCATTGAAGAGAGCTGGACGCCAGATCTGAAATAAATTATTTAACCTGCTTGAGCCTTCTTTTTATCATTGGTAAAGGGTAACATTACAACTTCCTCACAGGCTGCTTGTGAAGATCAGTGATAATACAAATTATTTCACCCTGGCACCATGCCCAACACACTTAGTAGGCTCTTAAAAAATATAAGTCCCCTTTTCTTCTCTTCTACATATACAAGTGTGATCAAAACTGAGGTCAATATTTAAATTAAGAACTTATTACAGTAAAAGACACACTAGTAAGAATGATGGTGTAAGTATTCCTGAAGCAAGGGGAAGTACACTGAGGGGATTAATAGCAATTAATGGCAATGTGTCTTTAAATTTTAAATTTAAACATTTACCATATTTTTTATCACAGTGAGCTGATCAACTGTTTAAGGCAATTTCTGTTAAAAAATATTATGTTAGGGGCTGGGGATTTAGCTCAGCGGTTCGGTGGCCTGTCTTGCAAGCGCAAGGACCCGAGTTCAATCCCTGGTACCAAAAAAAAGGGAGATGATGGTGCACTTCTATAAACCCCGGACTCAAGGCTGAGACAGGATAACAAATGAGCTCGGGTTACACAAAGAATAGAAGCTAACATCTTGCTTTACACATTGTGAAAACCAAATATGAATACACAGAAAGAATGAATTGATGAAAGCATACTGCCATAAGGATATCAAAAGCATAGCCATTTCTGATACATGAGTTACGCTTATCTAAGGTTGATCACATAATATCTTTTGCTTTCCTGTAAGAGAGAAGGGGCCTAAATTAAGAGTTGGATTTTTAGAATTGAGCCCTACATAATACATTCTAAATTTGAATTTTTTTTTTGTACTGGGGATTAAGCTCATGTCCTTGTGCATGTGAGGCAGGCACAGTGCCACTGAGCCAAATCCTTGGCTAGATTTGAATCCTCTTTTTTTTTTTTCTTTTGGTACCAGGGATCGAACTCAGGACCCTATGCTTGAGAGGCAGGTGGCAGAACCACTGAGCTAAATCCCTGGCCCTAAATTTGTATTCTTAAGAGCAGACACATATTTTGAAATCAACTGCTCTAAACTTCAGATTTTACAAAGGCTCTAATGTAAATTTCCTAAAAACATTATTTTTTCTTTTTCTCCCAGGTATTTTAATCTATCATTTAACAATTTCAAAATGTAAGAATTGTAGTCTCATACAGGAAAATAATTTCCTTTAGCTCCAAGAACATGCTTATTATGATCATTTTTTGCTCATATCAATGTATTAAATTGACACTAAAAATGGAGTCTTAAAAATCTATTAAATCTGAAGAAACGCACCAGCCTATTATTTTTTCCATAACAGGATAATTCTTGGTTAGCTATGCACATGAAAATAGACTTGTTTTTACAGTATAAATAATTACTACTGTTTCAGATCCACAAAGAAGATAATGTGGAAAAATAATAAATTGAGCTGAAAATTTTATTACCTTTAGAACAGAAAGTATGGTCAAAATTTTGCAAATATCACTTTTAATGTTAAATATTTTTTACATGAAATGATAAAAGTTGTGCCATGTCCTTTTTTGTTTGTTTGGTTTTATTTTGTGATAACAGGGATGGAACTTGGGACCTTTTGCTTGTGAGGCAGGTGGCGGGAAGCACTGAGCTTAAATCCCCAGCCCCGGTTTTTTTTGTTTTTTTGTTTTTTTTTGTTTTTGGTACTGGGGATCAAACTCAGAACCTTGCACTTGTGAGAGATGTACAATATTTCAGAAGATAAAATTTATAGTCATGCAGATGAAAATCAAGTTAATATATAAATGAAACTTGAAGGTAAAAATTCATTAATACTTTGCAGAAGTTCAAGTTGAGTTCTATATTATATAATATAGAGGGGTAGGCCAACTGCTATTTTTGTACAGTTGGTGACCTAAAAATGTTTTTGTGCTTAAATGGTTAAAAAATACTATTCTATGACAATGTGAAAACCATGTGAATTTCAAATTTCAGTGTCCATAAAGTTTTACTGGTATACAGCCATACCCACGAAATTACTGTTGTCTGTAGCTGCTGCAGAGACCATCTGGCCTCCAGAGTCTAATATTAATTAAATATTTATTATGCGGATCTTCTCAGTAAAGGTCTGCTGACCTCTAATATTTCGCTTCATAAGATTTTAGTGCATGTTAAGTCTCACCCTCAGAAATGTGAAAACCCAATTTTTCATGTTCTTTTCAGCACATCTTAAATTATAAAAAGGCCTACATTTGGAAAATAGGCAAATGATCAAGGTGACAAAATGCAACTATAAGAACTGACTGCTTGTCTGGGTCACTGTCCACCCTTCATTTAAAACTTAAAACCAGGTGGAAGAAAAGATTTCCATTCCACTGTAGAGGTCAATGATGAAAAAACACATGGGTCTGGCTGACAGTATGTTGCTCATTCAGGAGGCAGAAACTGCTTTGCACCAAACTGCGTCATCACTTGTCCATCATGTTGGATGCAGCACTCTTACATTGGGGTGTTCTGTTACCAGATGAGGGGAAAGAGTTTTACAAAGGGGAGAAGGAAGGTAAGGGGTAGAGTTTGGCAGGTACCACTTGAATGGATAGCAGTTTACAATGATTCATTTAACAACTTTTCCCCATTTCTTCTGTTGGGAAATGGCTTCAGGAGTAACGTACTTCTGCGAGGAAAACAGAAAAGGCAAAGAAAGCTATTTCACCAGGGTTTGGGATGAGGGCTTGAGACGGGGATGGCTGTTCCATCCTAGTCGGGAAAGCTAGGGCGAGTGACGCAGAAGAAAATCAACATCGGCCTTCACCAACGGATGTGCTGGGCAGAATTTTTAATTTTTCTTCGAGTCGCCTTTAAGGCAGCACCGGGCCTCACGGGGCGCAGTTTGGCACTACTTCAGTTGCCAGGTTTGCAATGTACCGGCCCATGGGGCACAGGACCAGGCCAGGCTGGGATCAGGGCCCCTTCGGGCCCCGGCCCAGCCCCTCCCCCAAGTAGCTCCCCGCAATGCAGAGCCACCTGTAGGCGACGCCGCCATTTTTAGTCTAGGCAAAAGCTAGCCGCTCCAAAATCCGCGTGGGCCACACTCTGCACCGGACCTCGGCCACTCACCCGGATCCTCACTGTGCTCTGGCCCAGTCCAGCTGGAGTCGCGGAACACCGTCCGGCTGAAGTTTCCCAGCCGCCGGCGTACTGGATCGGGCAGTTCCATGCCTGAGCCTCAGCCTCGCTCCTCACGCTTGCAGGTCTGCTGGCGCAGCCGCACTCTGAGGTTTCCAAGGCAACCAGGCTGCGTGACGCGCGGCGGG